AACAGATAGGATCCTTCCCCCCTCCGCAGCTTCACCCCCAGCCTCACCCCCAGCCTCACCCTCAGCCTCACACTCAGCCTCACACTCAGCCTCACCCCCAGCCTCACCCCCAGCCTCAGCCTCACCCCTCAGCCTCACCCCTCAGCCTCCCCCCCAGCCTCACCCCCAGCCTCAGCCTCACCCCTCAGCCTCACCCCCAGCCTCAGCCTCACCCCTCAGCCTCACCCCTCAGCCTCACCCCCAGCCTCAGCCTCACCCCCAGCCTCAGCCTCACCCCTCAGCCTCACCCCTCAGCCTCACCCCTCAGCCTCACCCCCAGCCTCAGCCTCACCCCTCAGCCTCACCCCTCAGCCTCACCCCTCAGCCTCACCCCTCAGCCTCCCCCCCAGCCTCACCCTCAGCCTCACCCCCAGCCTCAGCCTCACCCCTCAGCCTCACCCCCAGCCTCAGCCTCACCCCTCAGCCTCACCCCTCAGCCTCACCCCCAGCCTCAGCCTCACCCCTCAGCCTCACCCCTCAGCCTCACCCCTCAGCCTCACCCCTCAGCCTCACCCCTCAGCCTCACCCCTCAGCCTCACCCCTCAGCCTCACCCCTCAGCCTCACCCCCCAGCCTCACCCCCAGCCTCACCCTCAGCCTCACCCCCAGCCTCAGCCTCACCCCTCAGCCTCACCCCCAGCCTCACCCCCAGCCTCAGCCTCACCCCCAGCCTCAGCCTCACCCCCAGCCTCAGCCTCACCCCCAGCCTCAGCCTCACCCCTCAGCCTCCCCCCCAGCCTCACCCCCAGCCTCAGCCTCACCCCTCAGCCTCACCCCTCAGCCTCCCCCCCAGCCTCACCCCCAGCCTCAGCCTCACCCCTCAGCCTCACCCCCAGCCTCAGCCTCACCCCCAGCCTCACCCTCGTCATTCTGACTCCCTCATCTTCCGTTCTTCTTTCTCCTCTGCTCTGTCTGTGCATCTGTGCTGTCACTTAGATCAATCAGTCTGATTGATCATGGGATGTGTGACCATTATTGAGGTTAATTCAGCTCTTAACACACTCACGTGCACCAGCGTACGTGCACTAAACAATAAAGCACAAACAAAGGCGTGTGTCATCCATCTGCTGTCGCCACTTCCTCTGACAGGCTACAGATGACTTACACATGCAAATGTCCACCCCAACTGACCCCCGGGGGGCGATGGTGGGGGGGGATCCTCCGATCACACACAACACAGTCACATTAGTGAGAGGAGTGTGTGTGTGTTACTAGTCTAGACTACAGACCTCAGTCCTCATGGTCCTGATGTGTTGAACCTCACAGACCAGTCTGTGGTTAAAGTTCAGATGCAGATCATGTTGAGGTCGGGGGGGGGTAGTGGGGTAGTGTTGGTGTAAAGTTCTGTTTGGGCTGTAAGTGACAAGGAGTTGATGCAAAGTCCTGGAAAGGATAGCAGCACGACGGTGTGTGTGTGTGTGTGTGTGTGTGTGTGTGTGTCACTCCTAGATGAAGGTCAAATAGTAATTGTTATGCTGTTATGTTGGTGTTGGGTTGCATGGTGAAAAGGTTCTGCTCTCTCTGCTGCTGCTGGTTTTGATGGATGGTCTGATACATTGACTCATATCCTTCTGTTGCTCCTTTGCATGCTGGGTAATTTAAAAACGCCTTTATCATAAACACTTAATAAAACTGACCTCTGGGGGCACACTGCAGTCGAGTTTGTCTAAATCTAACATTTCTCTCCAGGTGTTTGTCTTGTAGTTTGTGGGCGGGGCTAAAGTGTTTCAAATATGATAATAATGTTGTTGAAGATGTTCCTGCTCCAGTGACACCCACTGAGGCCCATTGTTGCTCAGCTTCAACAGAGTTTAATACACTGATCAGACTGGTCTGGGATCAACAGCTGGTTCACAGAGTTGAACAGGGTCTAGTCAATGACAGGTCAATGACAGGTCAATGTCAATGGTCAATGTCAATGGAAAGTCAGACCACTAGAAAGCAGTGGCCCCTCCCTCACAGACTCTGGGTGTGAGTTGTCAGAGCTGCTCACGCCCGAGTGCGTGTACGTTAACGTGACCATCAACACTGAAAGACATGAAACTTTGACTGCGTGACACCATGTGGGGAGTTAGACCCGGGACTCCATCCTCTCATGTTCTGTCTGTGAGGCCAGGACCGAGAACATAAGAAGAAAATAACACTTCAACTCAGACTAAATGTATTTATATATATATAGTACATATATATTTATGTGTAACATAGATAAAGTAAAATGTGCATACTTTTACTGATATATTGTTTGTGATATATTTTGTTTATGTGATGTGTAAATATATACATAGACATATAACAAATCAAGAACTATATATTTTTTTTTCTAATAACAGTTTTTCCTGTATTCTGGGCCTCTGACAGCAGCCAAAGAGCGCCCTCCGATGGCCTTTTTTGAGAATACTCCACTGAAGGCCGACGCAAAGGCAGATAAAAGGACTTTGGGTTAGGGTTAGAGAGCAAAGGTCATCAGTCAACATGTAGATAACCGTGTGAATTATTTCAGATGAGGTGGTGTCAGTGAAGAGGAATAGAAAACTGCGTGGGTTTAGATGCTCTTAAATCCTGGGCCATGCGTTTTCAGCACCCTGGACAGTTCCTGTGCTCACCACAACCATTCACACTCACATTCACACCAACGGTCAGGTGGTTTATGTTTGAGTGAATGTGATCCTAATCTCCAGTCTGTAAGTTTCTGGACTGGTGTGAACACACACACAGACACAGGGAGAACAGCTTACAGATGGTCTGTGCTGTCAGTTAGAGAACAGTTCTAAGGTCAGTTCAGGGCTGCAGTCATGAAGAAGAAGAAGTAAAAACTGCACGTTCTCTCTCTCTCTCTCTCTCTCAGTGATACTTCAAAGATACTCTGTGCACACTGAAGTATGACATTCTGAGGTTGTTAAAGTGTGTGTGTGTGTGTGTGTATCTGAATGACAAGAATGTTCCACAGGAGGGTGGACCAGATGTTGGTTCACTTTAATCTTTGTTTCCATGTGTTGTTTTTGTTTTTGTTTAAGAAAAAATAAGAAGAAAATATAGGCTTCTGGAAACACTGGTCTCTCCAATATCCATTTGTTATGACATAGTGCCCCCTGTTGGTCGAAGGAATTGTAACAGATTACCCTGAAATTTAAATTCCCTTTTTGATTGTTATTGTCGTTCTACATAAAAGTTAATGTTCTTTTATTCTTGGGTGAAAATATTTAAACGTTTTAATTAATTATCGACTAATTTAGGGTGAAAATATTTAAACGTTTTAATTATCGACTGATTTGAAATCTGATGATGAACTGTATTAACCCTTTATCATCTCAAGACAACAGACAACAAACATTTCTGCTCTAGGAACAGCTTTAATGACCATAACTTTAAAGAGATTAAAAAATAACCAAAACTCATGGAGCGTCATGGGGGCGAATGTCATCAAACATTAGCAGAGAGTGTGTTACTGTGTGGGGGGCAAAAATGATATATCTGTGGTTTAGCGTTACCCCCAGCACGTGTTTGATGAGGACGTCCATGTGTCAAGGACACACTGAGACATTCACAGCTACATCAGAGGCTGGAGACAGAGACACCAGGAAACACAGAGCTGCTGTGGTGACGGGGGGGGACATGCACATAGGGTTGTTATTAAAGTCATAAATCAATGTGATGACACACAACAGCTGTGTTTCACCAAAACCAGAACAACATCTACAGCAGAGACACTGATGAAGCTAACGATGTGAGTTGACGACTTCTTGACCTTTTGCCCTCGGAGGTGTTTTTTCTTTGACACAAAATAAGTTTCAGTTGTAGTTGCTGTGAGTGGATCTGTCCTCCGGGTTCTTCCTGTCACAGTCCCACTCCTCCTCCTAGATCGTAGGTCAGTTTAACCACTTCCTGTCTCTCTATGGAACACCAACACTGGACAATGTGTGGTCACTAATTTGACCTGTGTACCAGTTTTTGTGTGGTCCCTGTCCTGGGAGAGAACTCCACAGAGAGGTTGATCCTACATTAAATCTTAAAATCTGCAAATTTAAGTCAGGGCCCGAGGACCAGATGCAGCCCAGACACAGTCCAGAGTGGCCCAGTCTGTGGTGTCTGGAGTCTGTGACATTAGTTAGGAGAGATTTAGGAACAACTGGCAGCTCGCTCTGTGGCCTCTGGTGGTGATGTCATCGGTTCAACTTTGCATGAAATGACAAATACATGTTGTGTTTGGTTCCTGAAAACCTGAAATGTGTCCGTTCCATTTCAGTGTCGCGGTCCAGTTTTGTCGTTAGCTCCTGTATGTTAGCCACAGACAATGTTCAGCACAATTGAGACACAACTCATTTTTATTAAGTATTTGTTTTAATAGTGCAAGTGCAGATAAAGTCAGGTCCAATAGTAATGTACATTCAACAGAAGAGGCGTGTCATCAGCATATACTGTGAGTCATCAACAGCTACAGTATAACAGGAGCTGTTTTTATAACAACACACTTCAGCATGTTGACATTGTGTACTGTTTGAGTACTTTTACATACACACATTTAATTTATATTCTTTATAATAAAGTATCCAGTCGACAAGTAAACATCTCAGTCCAGTTTTTCTCATTTTACTATGAGACTTTTTTACACAGCAAAGTAAAACTCAGGAGTCGGTTCTGGTGTCTTTGCCCTGAACAAACTGGACTTGTAGCTGGACAAACAAAACCATTTTACCTCAGGCTCAGTCAGTACTTAAATAACAACCAGTGGAGAAGAGTTTTGAGGACAGACGACTGACGAGACTCTCACTGGAGGAAACTCCATCTGAACCAATAAGACGGAAGTTCTAACTGCCCTGTGTGGCAGCTTCAGGAGCAGAGTTTCAGGACTGAGACTGAGACTGACAGCTGATCTGGGTTCAGGTGGTGTCAGTTTGTAGACATTAGTTTAGGGTTAGTCACAGACAAACCTCATGATTCTCCTGTGTCTGAGGCGACGTATGTCACTGATCCACTGATGGTCATGTGATCACTTCAGTAATCAACATATTTGACAGGATTATTGATAAAAATGGGAGACAAGCCTTTTTAGTTTGAATGTCGTCTCTGTGTCCTGTGACACCGATTCACACTCAGCTGTGAGTGAACGGGTGACACTGTGTTTTCAGGACCTGTTCCTCTTCATAGTATTTCTTTACTAGTTTCAGTTCAGTATTTTTATTTTAGAAGTTTTTTTGACCTGCTGCTCCTGAAGCAGCCGTTTAGCTCCGTCACTGATCATGTGGTGAAGAACTCAAAGACTTTCAACAGCTTTGGAGTAGTGTAAGAGGAGCAATTACCCACCAGGGGGCGACTAAGTTAGCTGCAAAAGAAGCCAGTTTAACTGAAAGTCAGTGCAAAATCAGGTGAATGCACCGTCAACACACACACACACACACACACACACACACACACACACACACGATGTTTGGTTCCAAAGTCTGTAACATTTACCTAAACTGTGAAGCCAAGTCTTTGATCTGTCAATCATCAGTTTCTGGTTGACCTTAGAAAGGTCACAGGTCACTGTACCAGGTGTGCTGTACCTGGGGCTCCTGATGACATCATTCCAGTGACTTCTCACAAACTGCTGTCTTGATGAGGCGACTCGGGGGCCAGCTTCCTGTACCGTGGGGAGGTGCAGGCTGTCTTGGTTGGGGAGGGGGAGGCGTTAGTGGAGGAGTCGCTGCCCCCACCATCAGATCCTGAGGGGACAGAGGAGAGGTGAGGAACCGGAGGAGCTTTCTTCCTTCCCAGGAAGCCTCCTTCCAGCACACTTCTCTTCCTGACAACACTGCACCCCCCCTCACCCTTGGCTCCCTCACCCTTGGCTCCCACAACCTCTATTTCCTCCACTACATGAACCTTTTTTCTGACATGACACCCAAGAGTGGGGCTCTCAGGAGGCAGACCACCCTCTGTCCTCCCCCCAGATACCCCGGCGCTGCTCAAAGCCCCAACCTTTGGGTTGGAAGTTGCACCAATGCCCCTGCATCTCCAGAGCTCCAGAGCAGCAGCCCTCCCCTCACTGTCCTCCAGTCCTGAGTCACAGAGTGAGCGGCAGGTATCAGAGCCCTGAGTGGACCCTGCACCGGGGCCGTCCACCAGACTCCCACTCAAAGTGAAGGTCTGGAAATCTCTGTGGAAGAAAGTCAAAGCCTTGGATGAGAAGAGTGTGAGTGTGACGTCAAAGGTTTTCTGGGAGTGTGTGTGTGTGTGTGAACCCCCATTTTGTAAATCGTTACTTTGATCTGTTAATACTTTACTTTGATAGGATTAAAGTAAAAATATTTACCGGTTGCTATGAAAAGCCTCGTTGTACCGTGCTCTGGCCAACAGGGGGCTCTCTCTGTAGGGTCTGACAGTTGCGTACGTAGCCTGAACCTCAGACACAGGCTCCTGGGCCTTTACGTTCAGACTGGAAGACAGAAAACACAGGAGGAAGTTGGGCTGTGTGTGTGATCCACTACCATCATCGGACAGTAGAGGGCGTTCTTGAAGAAACAGAATGATGGAGTGTGTTTCAGACACTGGTGTGAAAGTTCTTCTTCTTCTCACCTGGAGCTGGACTCCTGCAGGCGTGTGTGGTGCAGTAATGAGGGGGCGGGGCTTATGTTCGGCGTCACACAGCGGGAGGAGCTCAGGTCGCACTGGTCCAACAGCTGCAGCAGCTCCTCCTCCGTGGGTCCGCCTACATCTGTCACACACAGGAGCCAATCATGGTTTGCATACCAGTGGTTGTACTTTTGGCTCCCTCTAGTGACATGCGAGTGAATGTGATGCCATTAGAACTAAGTGAGTGACGTCACTGTTAAATTTAGATGTGATTTATTACCGTTAGGGTTAGTGTGTGTGGGGGGAGGGGTGAGGGGGGGTTATAATCTGAACAGTGTAGGAACGTGTTTTTGTATTTGATAGTTGCTAATACTGCAGTACTGGTTACTGAGAGAGATAGATATTTTCAAGGTGGAACACAGTAAAACTCTGTGTACTCTGTACTCAGTACTGTGTACTCAGTACTCAGTACTGTGTACTCTGTGTGAGGTTCTGCAGGAGAACCCATTAAGGTGGAACACAGTAAAACTCTGTGTGAGGTTCTGCAGGAGAGTGGAACCCTCCCCTCCTTCCTCACCCTCTCTCCTCCCCTCCTCTCCTCTGTTGGCTGTGTCCATGGCCGTGGTCAGGTCCCACATCTGGATTCCACCATTGCCATGACCCGTGAAGAGATAGCGGCGAGGACGCGACCCCATCCGACTGGAACCTTCACACTCTCTCACCATGAAACAGGAGATGGTGGTTCCATCCACAGACTGGATTTCACAGATCCTGACACGCAGGAGAACCACACGTGATAAAAGTCTGCATAAAAGGTCAAAGGTCAGCCTGAGGATGGCGGAATGTACCTTTTTCCAGTGGATGAAAGTCTGACGAACAGTTTGTTGGTGATGGGAATGACCTTCTGGATGAAGACCTGCTGATCGTCCCTCTCTCCAAACGGACCTGTGAGTAAACCAAACCAACATCGGGATCACGTCTTCACCCTGAGACCCTGAGACTCACACTCTAGTGGACCACCGTTTCAAACCCACATCTCTCACCGATGTCGTTCCCGGAGCAGTAGCTGCCGTGGCTCTCCGTTTCCTCCAGGGACAGGATTTTGAAGGAGGCCAAAGGGGTGGAGCCCGGCTGGGTGGAGATCATGCCTCTGAAACGGGTCACCGTCCAGGTCCGTACGTGGTTGTTGTCTGCACACACTGGTGGATGGAGAAACATCTGCTCAATGAACAGGTCAGCTGAGCCCAGGTGTGGAACTCTGAGCCCCCACTCACCCGACACCAGATGTTTCTCAGACAACATGATCTTGGTCACTGGGCTCCTGTGCACGGTGAAGGTCTGAAAGAGTTGGGGTCCAGAGCCCACCGTCTCAGGGTGCTGCACGATCACTCTGACTGCACCACTGCTTGTTCCGTAGGCGATCTCTATCCAGTTCCCACTCACACCTGAGGACACACACACACACAAAGAGAGAGACAGAGTGTCCGTCTGCAGCAGAGACAGGTCTGAGATCAGCTGGACCTGATCCTGAACTGGACTAGTATGAGTACCAGTCCCGTCCAGCACTCAGGTACTGAGACCCAGTTGGGTTCAGTTCTACTGGACTCACTGGTTTTAGGTGTGAGGTAGACAGACAGCGCAGTGATGGCGTCGTTGGACGGGTCGTGGTAAAGTTCTGTCACCAGAAGGTCGTTGTCCTTCATCCTCAGAGGAAACTTCTGCATATCTGAGAAGAAACACTCAGAACTACAACGACTGACAGACCAGGGGTCCAGGTGTGTGTGTGTGTGTGCACAGAGCGGCACCTATGTAGTAGATGGAACCGTTGTTGCAGCCCAGCAGTAGGAAGGACCCGGCCGTGTCACAGCTGGTGATGGGAACCACATCTTGAACCTCAACAAAAGAACACACCATTAAATGGAATATTTAATTAAAAATCAAGTTAATGACTCGTGTCAAACATCTCTGAAACAGAGTCACCACAATGGAACCACATGGTGCAGTTGTGATCTGCTGCCATGACAACCAGTCTGACTGTAGTCTTCTAGTGTATAGTGTGTTCATCACTACATACTGATTTAATATAAATATAGAACATTATGAAATAGAATAGATGTTAGTGGTTTCACCTTCAACACACACACACACGGTGTGGTGTCGGTTGGTCAGGTGACCGCTCACTGACCACCAACAACGTTGAATGTTGAACCTACCTGCCAGTGTTGTGTGACGGCGTTCCACACCCCCACCTTCCCCGTATGGCTGGTGGCCACCAGCTGGTTTCCTATGAAGAAGAGATGATCGACTGGCACCCCCAGACTGAAGACACCTGGAGCAGAGTGAAGAGTCACTAACTTCTCTGTTTCCAGAGGAGCTGTGTGTGTGGGGAGGGGGGCGGGGGGGACCTCAGTCACACTCACCGATCTGGTTCCCACTGCCCCCGTCCTGGATACTCCACAGGACGATGCTGCTCTCAGAGGCTGCGGCCACCATCTTGTCCTTGTCTCCATGTGGTCCTCCCACCACCTTAGCATTCAGTGCAACACGTTCAATGGTCCAAGGGAGGTGGGGGGAGGAAAACACCTGCTGCCATCCAGAAGACTCCTTTATCCTGCCACCACACCAGAGGGCGCTTTACTTTCTGGACTGCATGCATTTCACAGGTGACAAATGAACTATGAACTGTCTGAAGTATTTCATTAAAAAGTGTTTTTTCAGCCCAGAAGTTTATTGGTACTGTTCAAACAAATGAGCTGCACCAGACCATAATAATCCTGCCCTTTAGTTTCAACATTTCCATCCACCACAGGGTGGCAGTATTACCTGTAGCAGATGACAAAGTGAGCATAAGCTGCTACAATCCAGTTGTGGTGTCCAGCAATAATCAGAACCTTCCGGGGGTCCACCACAGGACCTACACACACACACACACACACACACATACACTATAACATCTCAACATAAACCCACTCCAATAACCTGATGATCACATTAGCTTTGAGAAGCTAGGCGTTAGCCTTCACTTCATTCACACTGTACCTCACAGAACCTGGTTGAGGAACAGACAGGATGAGGTGTGGCTTATACTTCAGTACGTGATCAGCTGTACACACGCAGTACTTCAAACAGTCAGATGTTCTGATTCTCACACTCTCCTCCTTCCTTCATCAGGACACTCACCCACTCTGGTTGTTTCTTTGGTTCCAGGTGAGCCAGGCTCAAAGGTGTGAGGGGAGGGACCAGCACAGGTGAGGCCTTCAGCTCCACTGGGACCAGGTCGCTCCTCACAGGCTGAGGAGGCCACGCTGGTTTGAGGGGCGAGGATGGCTGCCAATCAAGTGGAGCAGGAACATGTCATCATTTCTCTTAGAACCTTTTGACCTGATGTCTATGTTCCACTGGGTGTTTTTACCTGGAGGTGGAAGGTAACCATGGAAGAGAACGCTTCCACATGACGAGCGCTCCAGTTCCTCACACAGCAGCAGACGCTGAACTGTAAAAAAAACACGCAGAAAGTCACACTGTTGTTTTGTCATAGTGTTGTCACAGTGTTGTGACCCTAATCCTAACTCCTCTCTTCTCCAGGTTCACACTAAGGGACATTCTGGACACTTGTTTTGTTTTAGAGCCAGCATGTTTGTGGGGTTGCTGGTTTTCTTCCCTGTGAAACATTAAAGTAACTCCTTCTTTTCTTCTTCTCTTTCAAAAACAAACAGAAACCAAACTCACCCAATGGAGTTATGCCGTAAAACTCTGCTTCATGCCGCAGGACACTGACGTTCACGCCTCTGTGGCCAAAGATAAGGTACATTATTTAAAACAGCAATTTATTCAATTAAAATTGTTTTGAAGAAATAAGAAGAAAAAATCAGTCATGATCTGATCTGGATGTTTTTGTTTTTTTTTACTTGTGTTGACGTTTCTCACAATTGTAGTTACACTGTTGACAACTGATGTCAAGGTTAAAGTACAGAACATAATTCACTACAGACTCGGGTGACAACTCCACTGGTGTTCTGTGGGTCCTTACCGCAGGTCCAACTCTTTGGTCCGGAGAAAATTCAATATTGGTGCAAAAGCTGTGGGGTCTCTGTCGATGAAAATCTGAAAAGATGTATAAAAACCATCACATTCACCATCAGATACCAACAATCAGTTCTCCAGTCCAACCATTCACACGCACATTCACACCTGTCGTCAGTTTAGAGTCAGTTTACAGTTTACAGTCCCCCCTTTAAAGGTCAGTTCTGTCTGTAGACCAGTTACAGTTTACAGTCCCCCCTTTAAAGGTTAGTTCTGTCTGTAGACAGAACTGACAGATGACCAGACCCTATCCCTAGAACAGTTTGGAGTTGGGTTCAAATCCCTGGCCACTGATTGGTTTGACATTGAGCTCTGCGTGACATGGTCTACAGACCTGTCCTGGTCCTGGACAACAGACTTCACAGTTCGTACTTACAGCTCCAGTCTCATCTCGAAGAGTAGATATTCTTCCACTGAGCAAACTGAAACACACACATACATTTTTTAAACAGTGAGGAGAGTGTTTGCTAGAAACCAGTTCACTCTGGTTTCTCTCTGTTATAAAGTCACATGACCTAGGTTGGAGAAGAAGGTACTGATGACATTGAACCAACCTTGAGAAGAAAGAGTCTGGAACCCACATCAGAGTTTGTCTGGATGTGTTGAACCTACAGAAACACACAAAACAAAACTCTAACCATCTGCAGAAAAACCTCCAGCTGCTTCCTCCTTCAGGGGTTGCTATAGTGACAGAGGAGTGGCATGAGCCTCCAGCAGGGGGCGTGGTGCAGTTTATGCATTTTGGTTTTGGACTATTTATTTCTTCTAAATTCTAAATGACACAGAACAGCACAGCTGGTCTGAGGTTGGGGGTCCAGGTCTGTTGATCTGAGTGACTTTTTGTGTAAATTTGAAGGAAAATATTTTACAAATTAGGTTTTTTAATCTTATTTTGAGAAGCGTCTGACTGCTACATTAAAATTAGCCTTGTTTGTTCTGTTGCAGCCTCTGTCAACAACAAGAAGGCAAAGACATAGCCCGCCCATCGTGCTCTGATTGGCTGGTACATCAATGTGTTGGTTGGTTAGTGTACCACGTGTCATTTTGGTGAAGATTTTGCGCTTCGTTCTCCAGGTTCCATCACCAAACTAAACTAGACGATAGATGAATGAGCTGATGTTAACAGCACCAAAGCAGATAAAACGACACGGTCTGGTCTGTGGGGGAGAGGGACGGCGGGGGAGGGGGTGTACCGTGTGCACCACTACAGGACAGGGTAAAATAACAGTATAATACTGGATAAATACATGAACACTTGTGTATGTTTGTGTGTAGTGGGGTTTGTAGTTTTACTACAAACTCCTTTGAGTTTGTAGTAAACATGCTGCTTGTTTCTCTCGCGAGATGTGACGACACTGGATGTTATTAGCACTTATTATGTTGAAGTGAAGCGTCATTAAAAAAGGCAGTAAACAGATGTAAATGACGCAAAAATGTTTATTGTCTAAAAAAGGCAGTAAACAGATGTAAGTGACGCAAAAATGTTTATTGTTATTGTATTGTAAAGTGACGTCTACAGGAGACTGACTGAATCCAAGAGGTATTTTTTGGACTGAGAGGAAACATCCACACAACGACGTCTACTTCCACTGCTCGTTCCCAGACAACATGACCGCTATCCTACTATCTATATTTGGCTCGCCGCCGAAGACACTGTCGACAAGTAGGAGTAATGACAGTATTGAGCAGATGAATCGAGTGGTCGCAGTAGTCGACCTCGTTACTCATTATTCGATATGACATCGTCTCACCTTGTCCCACCGACGTTCAGCTGGATGATCTCTCCCATCCCCAGCGGTGAACCGTTCTCCTTAGAGGCCATGAGCGGAGGGGAGCAGCGGGATCTGGTCTCCTCACTGCCCGACTGTTAGAACAGTTACAGCTGGCTGACGACGCTCCTCTCTGCTCCTCGGCTGATGTGCGGACTCCCCGCAGCCTCACCACCAGTGCCGCTCCGCGACCTCTCCGTCCCTCCACCGGCCATGAACTATCTGTACTGTAGGACCGACGATGACTGCGTCACTGACGTTCACCGTGTTCGTACACGGAGGACGGTGGTGTTTTCTAAACAACTGTCGTTCCTTCTGAGCCACATTACATCACTGCCTCTGGTGGAGTTACAAGAGCTGGACGTTAGCCGAGTGTTCACCTCTGCGAACTTCCTGCTTCGACGTCGTCGTGTGGTTCCCTGTGGTCAGCGACCAACTATTTGTTTGAACGGCACCAAAATAAAAAAGTTAACCCGGTTTGACTGGTTAGCGTCAATCTTCTTCTTCTACTGCTACTGCTAATACTAGTCTTCCTCTTCAACTCTCCTTCTTTGTTCTTCTCCTTCTTTCTTTCATTATTATTATTATCGTTATTATTATTTAACTTATAGCTTACAGCTCATGTCCAAACCGTCTCCACCTCACCTCTCTCTGTTGGGGCCATTCCTAATCCTGCCCATCTCGGTCCCTTCAGTGAAGATTTTAGCATTTTCATTTTTGTCAAAAATACCTCAGACTTAGTAAACTTACTGCAAAATACATCATTTTTTCTTGATTTCGTCATGTATTTAGTGACCTATGCGTATTCCGTAATCAAGCCACAGGGGGGCAATAGCGGACTGTGTCAAGAGCTGGTCTGATTTTAGTGGGAAAAGTGTGCGCTGTTTTAATACCAAAAACGTGTGTTATAGTGTCATCACAGCAGTGTGTATGTGTGTGTGTGGATTCTCTGTTTCCGAGGCTACTGTAAACACAAACACCTACCTGTATCTGCACCCAAACAGACTCTAACCACTCCTACACACACCCCTCTGGGGCAGGTGTTGGAGCAGGTTATTCACTGTTCTGTTATCAATGTATCAGAGTCCAAAGTTCACACGGTTCTGGGTCATCAGCTCTGAAAGAACACCAGGGTGTGTTCACACCTGTTTACTGTGACTTCCTGTTGAGAAAAAACCCAGAGACCAGTTGATGTAGTCTGGTTTAACCAACCGTCCAACAGTTTGATCCAAAGAGCTGAGATATTACGTTTCTACATGAAACTTTTTTTTTTACTACTACTACTAATAAATATATGATGTAACACACATGTTCAATACATGGTGACTGTGATGACGTGAAGTGTTGTCCTACAGTGACTGTCTGACTGTCTGTCTGTCCACGCTGACCCCTCGGACACGGAACCCCGCCCTCTCTCTATCTTTCCGCCCCTGCGTCCAGGAACCTGCAGGTAACATAAAGGTAAAATTTGATGACGTCAAGCAGGAAGTGGATAAACAGTCAGTGGCCTTGGTGACTGCTGCAGTTTTAGCTGTTTCTGGTCACTTTGAAGGAATTGATTTGATTCAGAGAGAACGGGACTCGACGGAAAGATGTGTACGTTTGGTAAGTGTGTGTGTGCGCGCGCACGCTTCTTTTCCTGATGGTCTTCCTTGTTGTGGCTCTGGTCACAGACCTAAAACTGCACCGAACCGTTTGAACCGCCTCAGTGGTTCGTTCATTTAAATAAAATAAGCGGTTCGATCAGCTGTCACATTTTGAGGAATGAAGAAATACCGGTCGACATGAGTCAGTATAAGTCGGTATGAGTCCGTATTTGGGAATATTGATCTATCTAAGTCAAAGTCAGTTGGTGTTAGCCAATCTTACTCAATATTCATCTAAACAATGCAACATTAATCGACATGAGTCGATATCAGTGTATAAACGGGGCCAACAGTCCAGCATGTTGAATGAAATTAGTTTGGTCTGATGGTGGCGTCGTTGTGCAATCACGTCAAAGTTTTATTATTGAATCGGAGTTTTTTAATGATGAATTTTTCAGCACATTAAAAGAAGAAACGCTGAGGTTTTAATTCTCTTTAGGTTTATATGTATCATATTTGAAGTACTGGTCTCTGTCTTCCAGACAAGGAGAAGGAGCCCCGGAGGTTGATGAAGAGGGGACTGGCTCTCATCCTCATCGGACACATCAACTTCATCCTGGGGGCAGTTGTCCACGGCAGTGTCCTTCGCCACATCTCCAAACCCAGTAAACACATCAGCACGGAGTACACCGTCACCAACATCATCTCCGTCACCTCAGGCCTGTTGGTGAGTCAAACAGTCGATGGTTAGAGTCCAGCTCAGGTCAGAGGTGGAGCCTGTGAACAAACTCAAGTCTGGCCTGGTTTTCCATGACCCAGAACCAGAACTAAGTCCAGGTGACAAGTCTCTAGGAGACATGGACCCTAAAAGACATGGACCCTAGGAGACAAGGACACTACAATTTCACAACAGCAGTAAAATTACATGAAACAAAATATAATGATTCTAGTTTGAATTGACTCAAACCTTTCTGCTGCCCCCTAGTGGACGTGTATTTAATTGCTCTGCCTGACACTGGGATAAACAAAGACACATTATTTGCAGTAACAAAATCAAAGTTTTCAGAACCTGGAAGTGAACCTGGATCTTGTTGATCTGTGACACACACACACACACACACACGTGTGCCCCTGTAGCTGCTTGTTGGTCAGCAGCAGTTCAGACTTAATTCCTGAGGGATGTTGTGATTGGTTGTCGTTCTGTTTACAGAGCATTTCCACTGGGATTATTGCCATTCTGGTGTCAAGGAACCTCCGCCTGTTGAAAATGGTAGGAGTCTTGATTAATTGTTAATGTGATGCTAGCATTAGCACCACCTCCGTCAGTGTCATTCATCATTTCCACCTGGTTTGCAGCAAATAGGCCTCCTGGTGGTGTCGTTCCTCAACGCCCTCCTCTCTGCAGCCTGCTGCACTGGGCTGCTGTTGGCCATCGGCATCACAGTGGCCCACGAGGGCCGAGGCCTACTGACGGGCTGTAATGACACCCGGGTGGACGCCCGCTCACCCATCAGTGCCGACTGCCCCTTTGACACCACACGCATTTATGTGAGTTCAGAAGGTTTCTTCTGTTTGTGTTTCTAATGTGTACTCACCAGGGGGCGCTGTTGTCACTTCCTTTCTCTGTTTTCCAACACCTGACTAACTGTAGGACACCACCCTGGCAGTGTGGTTTCCATGTGCCGTGTTGGCAGCAGCTGAGGTGGGACTGTCAATCCGCTGCTTTGTCATTGGATTAGCCCTGAGGGGGCTGTGCAGCAGTGGGAGCCTCAGAGAGCAGGTGTGTCTGTCTGTATGTGTGTGTGGTGGGTGAGGGGCACCTCTGGTTTCACTAACAACCATTGTTTCCATGTCGACAAGGTCAAAGTTCTAACCACAGGTGAAGCAGCTTGGTTGACAGCTGGCTCAGCCAACAGGAGCCTGGTTACCATTGACCAGCTGTTTACTGATTAAAGCCCGGGTTAAACTCAGGGTTTGGGTCACAATATTAGTCACATTATTAGGGTTATTAACAATGTTAATCAATTATTAACAACAATCATCACACTGCAGTCCTTGAGCTGCACCGACTGACAGGTACTTCCTGTTTCTGATCATTTCCTGCTGTCCTTCAGGAGGGGGATTCCACCCACAGCCAGCGTCTGATGGGAAAGCGTACCGATCCTGATGCCTAAAGAAAGAAGAAGAACAGAGGTAGAGCCGCACCAGAACTCCCATAAGGCAACACTGCATCTCCTTTCACAACATGCTAGCTTCACGCTCCAGTTTCCTGTCAGGTCCAGTTTCCTGTCAGGTCATTGTTTTAATTTGTATATAAAGGTCGTTGGACTTTCCCAGTATTTTAAGCAGATTTAAAAGAAAATTAAAATTTTATTTAAAAGTAAACATAGGGGTCATGGACCATAGGCAGGCCCACACAGCCCCTGATGGCAGAGCCTGCCCTGTGGCCTTTCAACCATAGGATAGCAGACCCACCTGTGACTGCTAAAAACACATTTGAATTTATACTCTGAAATCTTAGACTTTTTTGTTAAACATCACATGTTTAATTTAAGAATGAAATTCTAGTTCTAGAAGAAAAAGAACAACTCACCACCGCCCAAACCTTGAACCTAGAACTGCTGTTTACAAATGTCTGAAGAGATGAGGCCCTCTGCTGGACCTCTCACTGTTTGACCACATCACTGAATATGTTGAAGAGAAGTTCTTGAACTGTTTTAAAGTGGACACTGATTGACAGCTGGTACAGACCAGGTGAGCTCTTCACATGGTTGTTTTTAAAGTTCTGACACTGAGCTGAGGATCTTTGGACTCTGTTTTTACTTCTGTTTATTTCTGTATTTGAAGTGAATTTATCAAAGAGTGATTTGTCAATGTGAGTTTAACACAGAATAAATGTTTTCTTATATTTTTATTTTGAAATCTAACTCGGCTGCCTGGAGACACTGCTGTTGTTTCACATTAAGATGTGTTAGATGAATATTGCTGCTGGTTGTTGTCAGAACCGACAACAACCATCCAACAGGCTGACCATACAACAAGAACAAACCTCTATGACCATACTGTCTTTTAAAGAGGCTCTGGAAAGACCTTTATTTTGAAAATACTTCACATGAGTCAAGTGATGGGGCATCACTTATGTGTAATGATGAGGTATCTAGTGTATCGCCGTGTCCAGTCAGACACCATGCTGCTAATCACATGATCAGACGGAGGAGAGAACCGTACAGACACAGGTCAGGAGCAGTTCGCTGATCGTTTCCAGCGAACGATGGCAGCGACGTCATGTTTGAGCCTGGAGACGGTCTGATCCAGCTGCTCTGAGAAGTCTTTGGTCAGACGACTGTGCTCATTGACGAAGAGTCGCAGCCCCAGCAGGTCAGACTCATCCTGGAGGAACAACCACAGCGAGGATCAGACTCCAGACTGTTCTTTTACAGCACCCACGTCACACTGGTGAACCTACACTGGGCCTGTGTCGACACAGACGCTGCAGCTGAGCTCGCACTGATGTCATGCTGTGGTAGAAAACCTTCAGAGCACGAGCCAAGTCTGCGTCACAGCTGGGACGCAGAGAACGACGGCGGCCGCCGTCATCACCTGCAGCACAGACACCAGCAGGAAGATAAGGATCAGAGTCCAAAAACAGACTGCTACAGTACCAGGCCGCGGGACAGTCTGTACCAGGCCACAGAAAAACAAAATCAACAACATGCTTTATTAATCATCATTAATCATCAGAGGGACTTTATTTTGTTAAATACAAGCAAACACCTGTAGACCCCTGTGAAGAGAGTTGTCAAAATAAAAGTCCTTAAAAGGTGAAAAGGAGACAGAAGAGCAGCCTTCAAACATGGAACAGGTCCACACACACACACACACACACACACACACATACCATTCCTGGTGTTGTGGAGCTGTTCTCTCAGACTGGTGTTTTCTTTCATCAGTGATGCATTGAGTCTTTGAAGTTGTGTCACTTCCTGTTGAAGAGTTTTCACTGAACAGCTGAGCTCTGCAGACTGACACACAGACCACAGTCATCAGGTCAGGACATGAAGACAAATACAAATGACAGGACAAACTCAGACTGACTGAAGCTTTGGATGGAGCTGGAGGAGGAGGAGGAGGTGTGTCCATGATGAAGGTGCCGTCACTGGTCATCCTCCCTTCATCTACAGAGGAAACCAGCTCTGTACAGCCGTCTGAAACACACACACACACACACACACGTGTTGGTGAATTCTTCGGGTCATGACCTCAACAATATAGTCCAGTAGGAGAATGGAAATGATGAAAAGTTGAGGTCAAAGGTCAACCTTGGAGCGCCCACATCTCCAGCACCACGGCGCTGCTCTGTAGGTAGTCCAGCAGGGAGGAGGTGGTGTGCAGAGATGTGAGGTGGATGTGGTGATGGAGCAGAGGGTTGACCTGGTTCCACACAGCTGGAGTGTAGAACGGCTGGCTGCAGTCGAAGATCCTGAAGCTGAGACAGAGGAGGTCACACACACACACACACACACACACACAGCCTCCCTCAGTTCTACACCTCTTCACTCTCATCAGTGTGAGTCATGTATGGGTGTAGTCCACACCTTACCCAAACTGCACCCCTCTGTTGTGGGCCTCCCTCACCCAGTGCAGACCAAAACACTGGTCCAGGACCAGCTGGAAGTCCAGACGTTGTCCCAGCAACTCTGAAGGATCCATGAGGATTCCATCCTCCCCAAGTGGACTGGAACACAGGAGAAGTCTGGAATGGTGTGTGTGAGTGAAAGTGTGTGTGTGTATGTGTGTGTGTGTGTGTCATACAGTCCAGTAGAGCTGCAGGGAACCAGCTGTACTTGAAGAATGGCCTCTGCTCTTCCCTCTGAACTCAGAACCTACACACACACACACACACACACACACACACGCAGAATCATCTCAGGTCACATGATTTATCGAACCACTGTCTGTCACGTGACACCTCACCTCCAGCTGCTCCTCCAGGGGGATACGAAAGACCAGAGACTGAAGCCACAGGTGGGCGGTGCCCAACAGGAGGGGCTCCACTGGGTCCCAGAACGGGTCTTTGTCCTGCAGCGCTGCAGCTCTGGACGTGTCCTGTCCTCCCTGCTGTGAACATACATGGGCTCAAATTCATCACAGCTGTGTTGTGATGAATGGGCTCAAATTCATCACAGCTGTGTTGTTTTCAAAAGTGGCTCAAATGGTGGTTCAAATCTAACATCAGTCCCTGATGAGGCAGTGACACAGACACACTCACATCAACAGTTCTCTGCTCCGCCTGTTGCTGCTGCTGCTGGTACAGTTCTTCCATCAGGAACTTTCGGTTGACAAACTTGTTCTTGGACCACACCCACACCTGTGGAGATGTCCACAGACCGTCAGACTGAGGAGTTAGTACACACAGTAGAGAGGGGAGAGAGTCGCAGTCTGACCTGTTTCCTTGGCAACGATGTCACCCTGACAACAACGTCTTTTTCCAGGTCATGACCTTTTGAATCCGACGCTGCCAAATTCTTGATCTCCAGTTTAAATTCTATGTCCTACAGTGATGACAGAACAGTACAGAGGTGAACTGTGACATCATCACTGAAACTCATCTGAAGACTTTAATATAAGGATTACCAAAACACAGCCCTCCCTCCCTCCCTCCCTCCCCCCATGGACCTTTGAGGACCAATGCCCACAGACTGCGTCACCTTCTTCAGCTCCTGGCTCATCTGATTGGCTTCAGCCACCATTGGCATCAGTTTGATGTAGTCATAGAAAACTGCCAGGAGACTGGGGTCAGTCTGACCACCGCCAGGACTGGACTCACCTGTGGAGGTCAACAGGTCAACACAACTGCAGAGGGTAGCTAACGTCTCCTCAGATATGATGACAAGTGCTGCTCTGAGTCAGAGAGGACTGTGACAAGACATCAGTGTCACTGATCACCGTCTCATCATCATCATCACCCCTGCCCACCCCTCACCCCTCACCCCTCACCCAGGTGGATGCCTTCAGCAGCAGCCAGTTCAGACTGGAAGTAGTCGTAGTCATAGCGACTGCAGTCTTCTCCGCCCCTCTCTGATGGATAGCCAATGAACAGGTAGGTGCTGTTGGATCCCAGAATAAGACGATCCTGAGGAGAGTGGACGTTGGGGGGAGGAGGGACGGGTGTTAAATGTCACAATGTGATATGATTAGAGTCTGTGTTTTTGGAGACTGACCAAGTGCTGCAGCTCAGTTGTCTGGGTAACAGTTTGACCATTGACGATAACCTTTGACCCCTGGTGTGGGGTCACTGTTACCCTGCGCTGTTCATTCCTGAAGACTGCGTGATGCTCTTGGATCCTACAGACAAATACTCACATTGCAGCAGGAGTTCAGACGGTTGAAGTAACGTGTAGTAAATAGAAAACATATTTTAAATGTTAGCAACGTTAACCTGGTAGGATTAACAATGGCTAACAACAGTACTGCTGTCAACCACGACCTGGAAACACTCACCCCAGACCCCTGATGGTAATGGACTGTGGGGAGTCACACAGACCCACGTCCCATTCACCTGAGCAGCACACGGTCAAAAAGAAAACAGATTGTTGTTGTTGTTGTTGTGATCGATAGTATTGTGTTATTGTTGTTGCTGTTTTCTACAAACGGACCTTCTCTGATGAAAAGCTTGACGACACCAGAGAGCTGCGCGTCCTCGTTGATGTTGTGGATGGAGGGAAACATCTGAATCATCCTTCTCTCCTGACCGAGAGGAAAACATCCAAACACATGAAGGTCAAAGAAAAACAAGTGGAAAAAAAAAGTCAGACAGAAGTCGGTGCTCTGACCTGAGTGATGGTGGCGTACTGCAGCTCCCAGTCCTTGAGTGCGTCCTGCAGGTGTTGTTCCCACAGAGTCTGGATGGCTCTGATCTGGAGTTCATTGTTGGTCAGCAGCTGACGGAGCTCCTCTGCACAGAGACAAGGTCATCAAGGTCATTAAAAAGTGTGTGTTGTAAAAAGACTGAACAGAGAGAGTCTCAGCCCGATGCTGGACAGCGCCCCCTGTCTCCTGATTGCTGCATTTTTATGTGAAACATTTACTGGTCTCCTCGTTTGCTCGGCGTCCATCTTGGCCCAGGCGGCTGAGCCGCTGCAACAGTCTGGCGTTCTCAGCCTTCAGCTCTTTGACCATGCGCTCAGTGGGGCTCTCATTCACCACCGCCTGGTTCTGGATGTGCTTGGCCCTGAACCAGAGGAGAGACAATAGTTAGAATAGTTAGTTAGCCGGTCATTAATTTGGACTTTTCTTTCTGCTGAGGTCCGGAGACCCAGACCATGACCACTGATCAGAACCAGATCTTTAAACACAGTCAGAATAAATCTGTTTAGTAACTGAGGTAAAAAAAAGAATAAAAGTGGTTCTTCAACATCCAACCATTCCTGAAATTTGTTTTCCCAGAATTCGTAGGAAACTCCTGCAGTTCCGGTTCTCACCTCTCAGCGTAGCGTAGTGTGGACAGAGACTCCTCGTAGAAGATGTCCGCAGGGCTCAGGGTGGCGATCTTCAAAAGCAGAGATTTGAATTCATTCAGATGGAGGAGTGAGAGTGAAGGGGGGTCACGAGGTTAAGGTGTGTCTGCAGTGGTACCATCACAGTGCGACTGTTTCCTCCCAGAGCTGACTGTAGCAGCTTGGTGAGAACTGAGTCTCTGTAGGGAATGTGGACCGCTCTCTTCCCCACCACCACGTCGGCCAGAGCGCTGGTCAGAGAGAGACGGTCGGTCAACCAATCACCAATCACTAAATTGGTACAACGTTAACAACAGAAAATGGACTACAATGTCAGAATAATTGACTGTAAAGGAGAAACTACTCCTACCTGATGACATTACCAAGAGTAGTGAGGCTCAGGTTAATGGCTGTTCCCTCTTTCAGCCGGTCAGCCTCTGACCCCGATGACCTCTGACGCTCACTGCCAGCCAAGTCCACCAGGTTAATGGAGGACTGTTTGGTGATGTTCTCTTTGGAGAAGATCTGGAGAAGAAGTCCAAATGTAGAATATTTTAAACATGGACTATTTTAAATGTGGAATATTTTTTTACACGGCTGACGTGACCTGTTTGAGCTGCAGGATGATTAGCATGTGTGAGCGACTGCTGTTAGCATTCATGTGAGTGGCAGCTGTAGTTCTAGTCCTGGTTCCCTGTTCCATCAGCTGTTCCACCTACAAGAACATTAGTTACCTGCAGATGGTGTGTTAGCACATAGATCTGAGTGAGCTAGAGCACACTCTCCCTAAGCGGTGGTGCCTTAGTGGTTAAGGAAGCACTCACTGCTCCCCAGGCAGCTTGTAGCTGACCCTACTCACTTTGGTGATGGGTTAAAAGCAGAGGTCACAATGACAAATAATTCCCTTTCACTTTGATTAAACTGTACCTGCTGAGCACTGTCACAGGGAACCGTCCGCAGACCCTCTACATAGAAACCTCTGTGCTGCTCCTCTCTGACCCGGAGAACACCTGACGTACGAGAACTCCGAGACAGAAGGTCGATCACCTGGACAGTGGACACAGGCTCGTTCTAGTTTGGTCACCTTTGGCTTGTCGTAAGGAAGTGTTGATTGATTGATGGAATGATCAAGAGTTGATCGCTGCTGCATGTCTCACCTGCTCATTATAGATCTCCATCATACTGAAGAACACCTGTGACACCATCAACAGAACCATTATAGTTCTAGTTCTGAAGGAGTGAATACATGTTAAAGGCGAAACACTGTTAGCTTCATATGCTGGCTAAGAGAGGATGATGGACGGACGGATGGGTTGGTGAGTGGTCGGATGGTTGGATTTATGGATGGGTGGATGATCTGTTTCTTACATTGTTCCTTCTTGTTCATAATCTCTCCTCTATGTTGACACTTGCTTCATCTCCAGTGAAAACCAAAGACCAAGAGTAAATTACTAGGCACGTCCCATAACATCGACCGACCGATAATATAGGACATCCGTAAAAGTTACAGATCAATTCTAACCAATCAGAGGTAGAAAAACACTCAAACAAAGTTAGCCAGTGCAGCTTCCCTCTGCATGTCTACCTGACACTGTCTGGTTGCCTGGTTTCCTCTGATGTCTTCAAACAGTCGGTCACACAGTTTTGGGACCAGGCCTTTGTTCGGCCCGTAGCCGACCATGGAGTAACTCTTCCCAGACCCGGTCTGTCCATAGGCCAGCAAGGTGGCGTTGTAACCCTGTGCACAGAATCCCATCACTTTGATTAAGATGGTTGGAGCCCAGGAAAATAGAAATATCCCAACAGAGAGACAGTGATGTTCACCTGCTGTGCATTCTCAAGGATTCCCTCCCCCAAGTCCTGGAAAACACTGTCCTGAAGACAACAGACAATGATGACAATTATCACATTTGTTATTTGTTGTTACATTTAAGGACTTCGATTTGTTTGAGTTCTCTGTTAAAATAAATGTTATTCTTTCTTGATGCAGCCAACTACTTTAAAGCATGTGTACAATGGTGACAAAGTACAGGTGGGCAGGTACTTGTGACCTGGTCAGCGTAGCGTCCCCCCGGCTCCTCAGGCACATACAGGCCGTTATGATCACGTAAGAAGCCGCTGTGGGACCAGTAGGCGTAGTCGAAGGAGAAGGAGCGGCGGTTGTGAGGGTCATGAGGGTCCTGGATGGTGACAGAGCTGGTAACCATGGAGATGATACATCGACTGCCTGCATCCTTCTCTCTCTGGAGACAGTGGAGTTGGACAACATTAAACTGTTCTACTCAGAGAACAGACTCCAAGTTGGTTCAAAGTAGGGTGCAAATTAAATTTTTTTAAACAAATTAGTTTTAGGTCTTTCTTAATGTTTTACAAATTATTTTATAGTTTGTGGAGTTATAATAATAATAAAAACTTCACACAGCTAATATTTCAGCATCGACTTCCTCTGCTCTTTCCTCAGATCAATGGTCAAAATCTTTTTATTCTTATCGACCTGTCATTGACTGAAGTTGACTAAAACCTGACTAACTCTATGATTAGTTGAATTAGAACCAGCTGCTGATCACGGACCAGTCTGATCCCAGCTTCTTCTCAGAATTTCCTGTTGAGGTAGAGGGTATTAAACCCTGTTGAAGCTCAGCTTCACTTATCTACCAAGATTCTGTTTCCTTCTAGTAGATACTTGTCCATGGTCCACTTTTATAGTCCACTTTTAGTTCTTTAAGAACTACGTGACAGGACCTGCAGCTGTGTCACTGCTGACGCAAACAGTGAGAGAAATAAGGTTGAAAGAAAGAATATTGAATGGCAGCAGAAAGAAAACACTGACCTTGTTGAAGGGTCGGACCCTGACGGCCACTCTGACACAGTCCTTCCTGTTCATGTCTGCTGCCCTCAGTCTGCAGCAGGTCTTCACACACAGGGAGACTGAACACACACACGCTGTCTCCACTTACATGAACACAGTTACTATGGCAGTCACTGGTAACCAGTGCTGGTTACTGAAATGAAACCTCTGCTCACCAGGAAAACAGGAGCGTTAGAAAAGAAAGGAAAAAAAGAGAAATTCTACATTAGAAACAGAAAATGTGATAAACATTGATCTGTTTTACTCCTGAGTTACATGTGAATTAAATCTCAAGAAAATAATTCTTGTCGTTAAAATGTTTAAGTTGTTTCAACTTCTGATAAATATTCGTATTTTGACTTTCTTCCCTCTCTTTGGTTTCACTTTCAGCCTCTCTAACAACACTGAATAATTCACTGAGAGTCAGCGGGGAGGACGAGCTCAGGTTACAGCTTCATCCTAACCAAGAATACACACACACTCTCTCTCTCACACACACACTCCTGTGGCTGCAGGGTGGTTAACGCTGGATTATTAGTGATGTGTAGTTCGAATCGTTAACGAACTACACATCACTAATAATCCAGCGTGACTCAGGCTGTGTAGAGAGCAGCGGGCACTACAGTTCGTTCACGAATCGTTCATACGGATCGTTCTTTCATTTAACTTTATTCTTATTTAACTGTTCTATTTATTTAAGTGTTGTGTAATTAATGTAAAGTGTGTTTATAAATAAATACGATTGAACATTATATCAACATATTGATTGTCTTATATATAATAAAACAAAAAAATAATAATAGTAACAACAATAATAATAATATTACATTTTGGACACAATAAATGCACCATGTAAACATTTTAATGAACTTACTAATTGTTACGTTTTGTTTTAATTGTCTCACTAATTGTCAAAATGAGTTTTACATTCACTTGTCATCTATCAGCTGTAACGGGACAGGCAGCTCGAACTGAACGGGTCGTTTTCGTTCTCGTTCATCCGAATTGTTCATTTGTCTCGTTCATCGTTCACAGCTGTGTAGCGAGCTGTACGTCCGTCCTCGGATCTCGTTCATTTGTCACGCGAGAGCTACCCAGAGACTGTGACGCTGTTAAACAACAATGACAGGAAGGATGCTGGACACCAGTCACTTTATTGTGGTGTGTATTTACTTTCTTAGGTTTTCACATGGTTTGAATTGCTTGTTTGGTGTATTATTATACTATGTTAGCTGAAGCAAACCATGGTTTTATTTACAACACACACAAGAGGGCTACAGCGTCCCCTGCCGTAAAAATGAACGAAATGACTCGTTCTAGTTTCATTCAATTTAATGTTCGAGGGTAAAAGATCCGAGTCAGTAAAAAGATTCGGTCTTCCCAACACGTGACTCAACGCGTCACCTGAGCGTCATTCCCACACCGCCCAACTCCACATTTATTTTATCGTTTGTGTGACCAAGTGAACATTAGCAGCTACAAATATGACTCAATGTCGCCCCCTATTGGTCTGTCCCTGTAACAACCGACATGTTACAAACGGTGTAAGAACAGAAGTATTTATTACAAGAATTATATATTAAGAATCAGTTATCATTTTTATTTATATTTTTCTTGATGAAGTTTAATTTTATTTTGTTTTATATTTTTTATTTCATTTATTTTACTTCTACTTTTTGCCTTTTTGCACAGTCCGGATCCATCGCACCCTTATTTCACTGCCGTTATCTGCAATGTCATGTGACAATTAAAGATTCTTGATTTTTTATTCTTCACAGTCCCTTGCCACCCTCTCCACACCCCCTCCCTCCACCCTCACCCACCCAAACAGACACACATACAGTCAGTCAGTCAGTCAGCCATGTTGTTGGTGTGACACAGAGCTGTCAGCCTCAGCTCTTCTCGGACCGGTGTTTCTTAATGTGAAAACTCACTGAGCTCTTTTTTAACTTTAAGTCAACGCTGTTCGGTAAAAACCGTAAGTAGGGAACGTGTGAAAACTTCCCAGGAAGTTTCTGTTTCTACGGCCGTGGTCACGGAGGTAAGTGACCGAAACTGTTGCTGTTGGGCGCGGGTATGAGTTTCCTCCAGTGAGTCTTTCCTCAGATTCTACCTCCAGGCCTCGTCTCTCTGCTGCTTTACATACGTGTGTTTGTTGTTTGAGCTTCTGTGCTTTGTGCTAACTTTGTTGGAAAGTTGTTCGTTAGCTCGGAGAGGAGTGGGCTGACTGTGGGGTCGGGTTCGTTAGCTAACTAAGGAACTTAGCGGGAGTTCGTCAGCTCTGGTCGGGACAGAGATGTTGGAATATTCACGGCGCACATTTTAAGAAACGTCTACACACATTTCTCCAGGTTTAAACTCGTTGATCCGGTTACAGGTCATACCAGGAAATGTTAGTGTGTTCATCAGTGTCTCTCTGTCTCTCTCACACACACACGAGGAGGCAGGAGTCTGCTCTGCTCCTCACTGACACCCAGATACTGTAGTAGATGCAGTACTGTGAAGTATTTTCTCAGCCATCTACTAACTAACCCTAACCCACAGCATCGTGGTGGATACAGGCAGCACGGTGTCACCGTTGTCAGATTTCTAGAAGTTTCTAACCTGTGGATATCAGTCAGTTCCACTGCTCTGTTCTGTGTGGCAGTAGAAGGCACCGGTTGGTCGGGGTGGACACACGGAGCTGTCTAGGACAGTGGTTCTCAAACTGTGGTACGCATATCACTGGTGGTACACGAGCGCTCTCTAGTGGTACGTGGGGAAAATGCATATATATATGTTATATTCTAATGTTGGCCATCATGGTGGTACTCAGAGAGCTCTGTGTATTTGTCAGGTATTACAGAGTTTGAGACAGCTCTGTGTATTTGTCAGGTATTACAGTGTTTGAGAGACTAAAACGTTTGAGAACCACTGGTCTAGGATAATTCACTTCCACAAACATTAGTTTAACTCTGTTGTTGACTGGTTGGTTGTGAGATCGTTAGAGCTTCTGAAATCAGCCGTCTCTTCTTGACTCCTGCAGAATGACCAAACTGTGTGTGTTTTGTAAAGGTTTTATCCTCTTCATTTCTTTCTCTCACAGATGGCTGTGAACAGGACCTGAATCCGTCCACCAGGAGTTTCTCCTCTCTCCCCCATTCTCACCCTTTTCCCTCCTCGCCCAGCTGCAGACATGAACAGTAAGATAACTGGTCAAGTGTGTGTGTGTTTAATAGTCTTTGTTTCACAGAAGTGAAGCTGCAAAACAAGAAATATAAAAGTTATAGAATGTGACCTTTGACCTCTGACTTTTGTCTCCGTGTCCAGGTGGTCTCAGTGTCTGGGCCGTCACTCCAGAAGAGAGGCACAAACATGATCAGAAGTTTGACTCACTCTCTCCATCCATGGGCTTTGTCTCAGGTACATCAACGGTGTCTGTCACCGATGTTGGTGCTGCACTGGTCGGTGGTGACAACAGTGACAGACAGCTACAGTAACAGACAGCTACAGTGACAGACAGCTGACTGAATCATTTTTCTTCTCTTTCCACAGGAGAACAGGCGAAGAAGTTCTTCCTGCAGTCAGGACTTCCTGCATCAGTCCTGGCAGAGATTTGGTGAAACACATTTACACATGTTTTTTTACCTTTGTTTGTGTATATTTTACCCAAGTAGAGAAACGCTAGGGTAGAAACCATGTTTTTGGTTCAATCAGTCTGCTAATGGCTGTCCTACAGCATTGAAATTCTTAGAGAAATGTATTTTCTGGCCCATTCAAAATGTTAGAAAACCTCAGCCAATCACAGTAGAGTACAGTTGAGTTGAATAGAATATAATGAAATAGAGAAGAGTTGAAATTAAACAGTGACATTGGAATAGCTTTGACCATATTTAAAATGTTCAAAAGTACTGGACTCTTGGCACAGTGGTGGTTAAGGAAGGTTTCAGGTTTTCAAGTCCACCACCTGCAAAGTTACCACTGAGGTGCTCCGTCCCCACACACTGCTTCCCGAATGCTTAGAGCTGATGGGTTAAAATCAGAGGTCACATTTGGTGGTGTGCAGTGAAACAATGACAAATAATTCACTTTCACAAAACGTAATTGATAGTAGACGTACGTAAATACCCACAATCATTCTGTCAGTCTGTCAGGGTCATGGTCATGGTTAGAGTCAGAGGCAGATACTGTGTGTGTGCGTGAATGCTCCAACAGTGGGAAGAACCCAGGACCATGTGTCTCTGCTGTGATTGGCTGAAGTTTAACCCTGGTCTCTCTCAGGTCGCTGGCTGACATGAACAAAGATGGAAAGATGGATCGACTGGAGTTCTCCATCGCTATGAAGCTCATCAAACTGAAGCTCCAGGGAACTCCACTGCCGTCAGCACTGCCCATCATCATGAAGCAGCCCCCGGTGGCTGTTCCCATCCTCAGCACACCCCCCTCTACCATGACTAACCCCACCTATGGTACAGTTTTAATCATTTTAATATTTTGGTGTGTATTCCAGCCTGACAATCAGCTGCCAGTAGGAGGTAGTCTACGCATTAGAGCAAAAGTTGAAGGTGTGAATTCACCCCAGACTACCTGAAGGAATTGGTCTGATGGAATCCTGGGATGAGAACACCATACATTCACAAGATAAATTAAAATGTAGTCAATCATTTTACTGGCCGTCGTTTTCTCCCTTCAAACAGGGTGGGGGGGAGGGGGGAGAGTGTTCGTACACACTCAGAGTGTACGGCCAAGGATGAACCAGTATGATGAATTTGTTGGTGGCAACAAAAAAGGGCATCAGTTTTTACTGAACCAGTTTTTACAGCTGAAAACCTGGAGATGAAGAGCCCTGTTTGTCCACAGAGTAAACACAAACAGAAAAGCACAAAATGGTGTGTGTGTATATCTATCTATCTATCAATATATATATATATATATATATACGCCCATATATACACACAAGTATATACTGTATATATACTGTATGTGTATATTGGTTAGGGCACACTCAGTGGCATGGCCATAGAAAATCCAAGGGTTAGGTGATTAGAAAGGGTGATACAGACAGAATCATTTCTGTACGATGTATGTCTTATTTGAAGTTTACAAAAACATTGTAGACATATGTTTCTGTTATTGTTTACATGTGTTTGTATGTAGTCAGTCATGTAACAAACATCTTGTTGTGTCAAATACTGATATGTGATTTAAACAGGATCAGTTGTGATGAATTAATTACAAAGCCCCTCATTAACCAGATGAATGTAATTGTTGTTGAGTTGTCCATGGTTGAACCAGACAGGCCTCTGAGACGTTGTTGTGTTTCCCTGGACCAATCTGGTATCTTTCTGTTCCAGGTGTGGGTTCAACGCCTCTCAACATGTCTATGATTCCTGGGACGAACCTCACCATGTTGACGCCTATCTCTGTAGCAGCCCCAGGACTCTCACCCATGACAGGACTCACCCCTCTGGTCCACGTACCCACAGGCCTCAGTACTCTCATAGCCCCCACGAACATCAGGCCCCTGATGTCTTCTATAGGAAACCCTTCAATGCCAAACAGCACCATAGGAATTCTTCAACCCATTTCATCTGGATCTTTGACCCCAGGTACATAAACCAGTAAACACAGTGTGTATATATACAGTACACACACACACATATATTTATATATACACACAGAGCCAATGTGTTGCTACCTGTCCATGATTTATGGATGGAAGGTGTTAGCTTCTCCCTCT